AAATTACAAAGAATGGTCATCGATGGGTGGTACCGAATGGCGCTAGACGAAGAATCTTGTTATATTATCACGATGGGTATGGTCATTTTTCAGTAGACAAAACATTAAAGGAAATAGAGGCACGTTACTGGTTCCCCTCCATGAGGAAATATGTGCGCAACTACATTAATTCATGTCTTGGTTGTTTGTATAATAAAACGCCTTCTGGGAAGGTACCCGGTGAACTCAACCCCATCGAACGGAAGAGTATTCCTATGGATACCTTACACGTGGATCACCTTGGCCCTTTTGTTAAGAGTAAAAGGAAGAACAGTTATCTGTTAGTCATTGTTGATGGTTTCACAAAATTTGTATTTTTGAAGGCTGTACCGAACACGTCAACGAAACCTGTAATCAAATTTTTAGATAGCATTTTCGAAATGTTTGGAGTCCCGCGTAGGTTGGTATGTGACCGAGGGACCGCTTTTACGAGTGGTAATTTTACGAAATACTGTGGTAAGTTAGGTATTAAACGTGTGTTGTGCGCCACGTCCACGCTAAGGGCGAATGGACAAGTAGAAAGGATGAATAGAACAATACTTTCATCTTTATTGGCATCAACAGACGACGAAGAACGGTGGGATGAGGCCGTTCCTGGAGTAAAGTGGGGCATTAATTCGACGGTTAATGCTACGACCCACAAGACCCCGTATGAATTGTTTTTCGGTTACAAACCTCGGGGTATGCAGGATGCTTTTATTACTGCAGAGGTTTGTTCCGATGGTGAACGTCCAGATCTATAATTATTTTCGTTTTATTTTATATAGGTAAATTTTCACGAGGACGTGAAGGTCTGTCAGGTTAGCCGACTGTAATCCTCTTCTACGCCTATGGTCGGTAAATACTGCTGATTCAGGGATTCTGCCCCGACGGTACGACGTAGCGACCCGGCAACGGGATGAAATCGGGGAGTATTCAAGTACCACGGTTACCGAACAGTTGACGAGCGGATAATATAAACATTCACATAATCATTATAATTAAGATATATCGGACATTTTGTAGATTAGGTATTATTAAAAATTAAGCTAAGAGACTTATTGTTTGTGTGATTATAACCATAACCCCATTTAAAAAAATACTTTTTATTTTTAGAAAAAAAGCTAAACAAATTAAAAATTAAATATTTCAAATACATTTAGTAATGCTTCTGCTGCTTCTTGGTTCTCAAAATCTATATTATTTAATAAATTTCCTCCTGTTCATCCTCAATATTTATTTTATCCATTGGTTCACAGGTTAGACACACTTTTGTTGGGCACTTTTATGGTCCTGGGGATGTATCACTTAACCCTTGGTAGAATTTGGGAGGGCACAGCAAATGATTTTAATGTTCTACGTTTTACTTTATGTTATATTTATCTTATGATGTAAATATTTATATTGAAAGTTATTTCTTTATTAATTATTAATGTTACACACCATTTACATGTGCTTAACGATTAGGTTCTGGTGGACCAGTGACATGTGACATATGACAAACTCAAATCATAGACTAACGATTATAATCGATTAACAACTATCGATTCACATGTAACATCTCCCCCTTTTACGTTTACAAGATTAACTACATACTAAACAAGAAATACAAATAAACAATAAACACAAGTAGTAAATCAAATACATACAACATAAGTTGTAACCAATTTTACCAATCTTACCAATAATCCTTAAACCTAGCAGGAGGCTTGACAATCCTACCTGATCTTGTCTTAGTAACAGGACTGGAGCCAATCGTGTTACCAAACCCAGGCTCAGATACATTCTGTCTCGAATAACTAGAAATATCATTTGATAAATTGTTTTTTTCAAATTTATTACCAGATGAGGAGCACGGTTCGTTAACCAAAGGATCAGGTGTACTACCAGGTCTGTGCAAACAGTCGTTGAAATTATACTCAGTCTGTTGAGCATATTTATGAGGACACGGTTTGATAAAGGAGGAATTTCTTCTTGTAATGTTCCCAACGTTATCTCTCACCCAATATGAACGCGGTTTATCGGTAACCCCAGTTATCTCCCCCGGTACCCAAATGCCGTCCTTTCTTGTTATGACACTCTCTCCAATGTTAAAAGACATTCTAGGTGTCGCATGTTGATCATAATAACCCACAGCCCTTTCTCTATTCGAATGTAATCTTTTAAAATCCACATCAGGCTTCGAGACCAACAATTTTGTAGCCACTGGCCATTTTGTACGGGGCAAACGGTTATTTAGGAGGTCAGCTGGTGACAAATCAAACCCTGTTAACGGTGTTGCACGATATTCTAGCAAAGCATAACTTATATCTTCACCTGTTTCACCACATTTTTTAAGCAAGCCTTTACAAATGCCAACTGCCCTTTCAGCCAATCCATTTGACTTGGGATACCTAGGACTTGAAGTAACCACATTGAAATTCCAATCTGAAGCAAAAGTTTTAAATTCGCGACTATTGAAAGGCACATTGTCTGAAACAAAAATGGCAGGTACACCATTCCTTGAAAATATCCCTTTGCAACTTTCAACTATCTCTGAAGCTGTCTTTGACTCTAACTTTACAAGATCAATCCAACAACTAAAATAATCAACAACTACTAAATAATCAGTACCTCCATAATACAAAATGTCAGCACCAACCTTATAAAAAGGTATATCAGGCCTTTCATGTTGTAATAACGGCTCTTTGGTATTCTACTAAACTTTAAACAAGTTCTACATTTATTAACATACTCGGCAATATCTCTATTTAATCCCGGCCAATAAAACAGTTTCCTAGCCCTAGCTTTACATTTTTCAACGCCCAAATGAGTACTTTTGTGAATTTTCTCAACATATCTCCGTCGCAATGACGCTGGTATTATTAACTTGTCATTGTAAGAGAGCAAACCATTCCTAAACAATATGTCCCCACTAATTTTCATAAAATTGCTAATTTCCACGCAATCAGGCCTACTGGGCCAACCTTCATCTAAATACGAGATCACTTTATTAAGGACCCTGTCTTTAATGGTCTCTTTCCTGAGTATCTCAGTATTGGGGTCGGTCAAGGGCACGTCTATTTCCAAAGTGTGTATCATTTTAATATCAGAACATATTTCACCACTCTGCTCAGTCTCATTTCCCTGAATTGGCCTAGATAAGAAATCAGCAATATACATATTCTTACCCAGAAGATATTCAATATCAAAATTGTATTTTAAGACTTGTAATTTTAATCTCTGTATTCGACTACTGATTTTATAAAAATCCTTCTTAAAGATAGATACAAGGGGCTTGTGATCTGTCTTGACAAGAATTTTACGACCATATACGAAGTTATGAAACTTTCTTAGTGTAAAACAGATGGCTAACAATTCTTTATCAATTTGAGGATAACGAATTTCACTATCCGTTAAACGTCTAGAGCAAAATGCCACAGGCTGTCCCTGTTGTAATAAACAACCCCCAAGTCCAAATTGACTGCTGTCTGATTGTATTTCTACCGGTATCAACGGGTCAAAAATTTTAAGGTTAGGAATTGTCGTTATCAAACCCTTAATCTTATTGAATGCTACCTTATGTTCACCCGACCAATTGAACACATTATTATTTTTTATTAATTCTCTGAAAGGGGCCATTAATTCAGATAAATTAGGAATATATTTTGTTAAATTAAGCATCCCCTGTAATCTTAAAAGTTCTTTTTTATTTGTAGGTTCCTCTAAATTAATTATCGCATTAATATATTGATTATCAGGACGCATCCCCTTTCTTGAAAATATTTGCCCAACATATTTTACTTCCTTGACCCGAAATTGTAATTTATCCTTATTAAATTTTAATCCAAACTTCCTAGCTCTATCTACAACTTGTTTCAGAATTCTATCATGCTCCTCTACAGTATCCGCTGCAACTATGAAGTCATCAAAGTATATACCAATGCCCAAGTCACCAAAAAGTTTCTCGTTTACCCGTTGAAAAACCTCAGGACTGACATTGAGACCAAATGGAAGTCTCTTAAAGCAGTACTTACCAAAAGGAGTTATAAATGTACAAATTTTCATACTCTCGTCGTCTAACGGAACATGGTAGAATCCCTCTTTTAGATCTAAGACCGTGAAAATAGATTTATTTTTTAACTTTAACCCCAACTTCTCAATTGTTGGTATAGGATATTGATCATTGCAAACAAATTTATTAAGGTGTAATGGATCTAGACAAATACGAATCTTTCCACTACTCTTTTCGACTATCACGATATTGTTAACCCACTCTGTCGGTTCCTTAACCTCCATAATAATGTCCCTCTTTATTAAATCGTTAAGTGATTTTTTTAATGGTTCCTTCACTTTCTCTGGAACTCTCCTACACGCGCTTACAAATGGGACATAATTTGGTTTTAATACTATTTTATAACTTTCTTGTATCTTGCCTATGCCTCTAAACACATCAATATTACTCTGAATAAATTCAGTTTTATTATCAAACTCTAGATTATCTATTTTTTTCACGAGGTTTAACTTTTGACATGCATTTAAGCCCAAAATTGGCGAACTATCAAAATCTACCAACAAAAACCTGATAATACACTTTTTCCTTTTTACAATACATTTTAAATCTACAGTACCACAAGTTTGAACCTTATTATTACAATATGTTATTAAAGACAATTTTTCATTAACAATTGGTTCCGTACAACCAAGTTTTTCGAAAATTTTAATCGGTAAACAATTACATGCTGCTCCTGTGTCTATTTTGAAATTAACTACTTTACTGTTAATAATTACCTCCGTGTTCCAAGTATTACCTGAGCTCTTAGTGTTAACATTGTCAAGCTGTATGCTCTCTACGAACAAAGTATCACTATCGCTACTACTATTATCAAGGCCTACTTCTCTAACATTTCTATTATGGGACTTTACAAATTTACTCTTGTTAACATCTTTACAAGCTTTTAAATTATTATTTTTACACCCTACCGCAAAATGGTTAGGCTTACTACATACCGAACATTTCTTCCCGAACGCCGGACAACTTCTCGGACCATGTCGTTTGCCGCATTTGAAGCAATTGTAGTCCTTAACTTCTTGTACTGTGTTTCTTACTTGGTTTTTATTTTTGTATCTACTTTCACCTACAGCATCTACTTCTTTTTCATTGTGTAGTTCTCTCGCTTGTTTTTTACTCGTTTCGGAGCTCCTACATAAAACCTCCGCTTTAACCAGTGTTAGTTGTGGATATTGTAACAGCCTTTCCTGAAGTGATGCATCCAAGATTCCACTAACAATTCTGTCCCTGATTAATGAATCCTGCAGTGTTCCAAAGTTACACAAATTGGCCAGATCCTTAATGTCTGTAACGAAGCTGTCGAAAGTCTCCCCTTCTTGTTGTTTCCTAGTAAAAAACTTGTATCTATCGTACGTTTCGTTCCTCAAAGGTTTGCAATAGTTTTCAAACGCTGCTACCACTGTATCGAAATTCTTCTTTTCTTCGCTTGTTAAGTTGAATGTTCTAAACTTTTTCTGAGCCTCCTCGCCCGCGATGTTTAACAAAATTGCTACTTTTGTTTCATCATCTTTATCCTTTAATCCAGTTGCTACTAAATAGATTTCAAGACTATCCAAAAAACTATTTAGGTTGTTGTGAATATCCTGGTTAAAAACCAGTTTCTTAGGAGCCTTGAACGTTGCCTCCATTTTATTGATTTTCTAACCTCACTTGGTTTCCAACTTTTACTAACTTTATTACGGTTAACGGTTACTGAATCTTACTATCTTAATGTTCAGAACACCCGCTATAAACCTGACACCATGTTATATTTATCTTATGATGTAAATATTTATATTGAAAGTTATTTCTTTATTAATTATTAATGTTACACACCATTTACATGTGCTTAACGATTAGGTTCTGGTGGACCAGTGACATGTGACATATGACAAACTCAAATCATATACTAACGATTATAATCGATTAATAACTATCGATTCACATGTAACACTTTAACTAAAAAGAAAAGAATGGAATATAATGGATTTGAATCATAATACACTTACCTTTCTGTAAAAAATCACTTTCGAGAAAATGTAATGAGCACACTTTAATCGTATTTGATACATTTTTTCCGATTTTTAATGTTCATATCGACAACAATCTTCTATCAATTAGTTCCAAGTAAATCCAGGCTTAGTTCCCACAAAAACCTTCCATTTTCCTGCTTTCGGGGAAAGATGAAAACTTAAATTAGGATTTCGCTTGATCCAGGATGAACACTGGGGAACGCAGCAATATTGGTTCATTTTAAAAATCTCCAACAAACACGAAAACTTAAAAAACACAACTGAACTAGTATGTTTTGTCATAACAACAACAAAGCCAATAGCCGCACAATGGCTCTCAGCTCGGTTCTTAGAATATCCGCCAGAGGGCGTATCGCTTAGCACGAATCACAGAACATACATAAACAAGAAGGGACATCGCCGTGAGAATTTCGTAGACGTTGTAGAGCGCACCCTGAGAGCATGGGGAAACACTAACTAGTAATAGTAGTAATGGATGTTGCATAGTAAAGAGAGGATTCTATATTAGTATATACACAGTCGTGTAATACGGGTTTTCTATGCGACTTTTTTCTTTTCTTGCTCATATTATCCAATTTCTTGTAAAACTTGTACAATTTATTATACTATTACAATAATAATTATATAAAATGTATAAGAATTTTATATAATTATTAAATATACATAGTATAATAAATTGTACAAGTTTTACAAGAAATTAAGAAATGAATTAACGACAATAACGTTTCATTTTAAAAAATATATTTAAAAAACATACATTTTTTTTAGACTTCATATTAGACATTAACTAATTCAATATAAATTAATACCTACATAAATATAAAAACAATACATTTATAAACAGTATAATATTAAAATAATTCATAATTTTAAATGTAAACCTACATAATATGAATAATAATTAGTTTACAAACCTTTTTCTGAGAAATCCAGTCATTTTATAACAATGGCTCGCTGAACCCAATAGAACTATCTATATTTTCTGTAACAAAAAAATAAGCAGTTAATATGAATAAAAATGATATTTGGGTTTAAATTATGTACTAATGTTAATTATATTTACCTAGCAAAGAAAGCATCACACAGCAATCTTGTCTAATTTCAGACCTTCCGATGATTGGAATTTGAAATCTGCTTTTAATAAATGGCGGTCGACGCTGCAACACTTTCCAAGTCTTGTAGCAATAGAATGGTAGAATCACGTTAACATTACACAAATAATTTATAAAACTCACAGCAAATACCAAAGCACTTTGTATAATAGTCGATAACTAACAATAGTTGGAAGAAATATTTACTTGGTTGTATTTCAAAACACTTCGAAGTGCATGTGTTGTGTTCAAATTGAAAAATCGTTAATAATGATCTACGGCATGTTGCGCGGGTTGCTTGCGCTGTTTCTCAAATAAACGATCGCCGCGCTATCTCTGAGGGTGGGTACGAACTAAATTTAACGTCGAAAATTTCTCATAAGGCTGTCATGGGCCTGGCACGAATCGTCTATACCGACTAAGATAATCGCAGATACGATGAAGGTCAAACAGTTGCACGTATGCAAACAAGTTTCAACAGGTTTCAACAAGTTGACACAAAAGTTTTTAATTCATAATTTATTAAAAATCATTTAAAAATTTTTTTCTTTCTTCTAAAAATCTCTCTATAATAAAACGTAAAAATTAAAAATAAAAGTTGCGGACCGCAGCTGGACTCGAACTGCAAACCATCGCGTCACAACTCCAATCGTTAAAAAGAATCCCTACGCCGAACTTTGAGGCAAGCAAACGAGCGCGGTTTAAATGCTATTAATCGTATTCGTATACGTAATAATGACCAGGCCCAGGACAGCCCCAGATAACACGTAAGCTTGTGACAAGGTTGTCATGTACTTGTCATGTCCTTGTCATGACAAGCTTTGCAAGACAAGCTTATAAAAAGGTTAGAGTAAGGTTGTTTTGACAACCTTATACAATTGTCATAGCATTGTCGGAATAAGGTTTTCGTGACAAGCTTTTAATAATATTATTGCAAGGTTATTGCTTAATATAGGCTTGCGGTTACCACGTTTTTATAAGGTTTATATGTAAGATTATTTTAAAGTTTACTTATAAATTATACTAAAAGGTTTATAGCTAATTTTGCAATATGCAAAAATCATGGGAAAAAGTTAAACTAATAAGCTTGTGGAAAGATTACACTACACAACATACATCTATGAAAAGGCATACATTTGGAGTACCTACATACTACAAAAAGTGAAAGATATTTTTTTAAATTATTTTAAGACATTTTGTATTCAATCCGATAATTTCCTATGAAGTTTTATTTTGTCTACTCGCTACTCGATGTAAAGGGTAGGGGGTTGGTTGGGTTGGGTTTCTAATTTTTGTCCCTTCGGTACTCGACTTTCTCTACTAGCATTGCTGACGCTATTGCCTTTTGTAAATGTTCGCTCTTAAAATTTGCTGCTGTTATTTTCCAACGTGTTTTTTTTACCTACCTTAATTTTTCAAAGGTAAGTCAAATATTTATTATTTCTTGGTATTTCGATATCATCTATGCCTTATGTAATTATTAATAGAATGTTTATTCATAGGTATCACTTGAAGACCGTTCAATAAAATGTCCCAAAAGACCGATGCATTAGACAGGATTCCATAAGGATATAAATAAAAATATTGAATGATGAACAGAATAATTCCAGACGAAAAGTTATCATTAATTCATTCGATCAAATTCATGATGAAGAATCAAATTAGATGAATGTTTAGCCAAACAACTTCGCTCGACTCGTCGGTTTTTTAGACTTGCAATTTACAAATAAACTGTTAAGTTTTTTAACAATTATTTTACTCAACTATTTATTACAGCATTTTTCGAACACTTTAAAAATTTCACAATGCCCTCATAAATTCTAAAGAATAGCGGAGTACCAAGAAATACTGAAAACACATGGCCACACTTGATGGGTTCGCCCGGGTTTGCCTGACAATTCACAAATTGACAGATGTTTGTTGGGATTATGAAAGGACATTTTAGTATTTTTTCAATTTCATTTTTAAACAAATGGACTATAATAGTGAGTATATTAATTTTTTTCAATTATTATAGGCACATTAATTTTTTTTCTTTTACAGGGAGGCCCGTCAAAAAATATGTTAGGTATGGCTGTTCATCCATCGGCTGTTCATCCATATCCGGGACACAGTGATTATATTTGTATTCATATTTTATTAAAATAAATGTCAATTATATAATATTTGCATTTTTTTCATACATTTTATGCCTTTCCATAAGCGTGTCGTAATGTTTTCAGAAGCTTGCCATAAACATTTTTCAAAAACCTTGAAAAAAGCTTTTCGTAGCGTTTCTATAACATTGTTATAACCTTTACACAAGCTTGTCATAACCTTTTCATAATCTTGCCTTAATAAGCTTTTAGTAATAATATTTATGCAACCTTTTCATAAGCTTGTCGCTACCTTTTAATAGGGCTGTGGCAAGGTTTTCATAAGCTTTACGCAACGTTTTCAAAAGCTTGCCATAACCTTTTCGTAGTAACCTTGTCATGACAACCTTAAAGCAAGCCTCTAACATGTTGACTAGGAAGGTTGTCAAAACCTTTTTATAACCTTACACCCTGGGTTGCAACAAGGGTACAAACCGTGTCGTGACAAGGTTAACGCAAGCTTGTTGTTGTTGTTGTTGTTGTTTTTATGCGGGCGGTCTTCCCAGCCCCGTGACCACCTAGATCTAATGATCCTCTGTAGTTTCCCGCTGTTTCCCAAGGTCATTGATTCTGCCAGAGGTCGCAAGTATTTGCAAACCTCAGCAGTTCGGATGCCCTTGTGTTTTTGAGATCGCTAGGATCTAATGAGGTCCTTCCCCAGGTATTATACCTGCGCAAGGATAATGCTGGACAGTGACACAGTATGTGTATGCTGTCCTCATCAGCCTCCCCACATAGACGGCATGTTTTCTGCTCTACTATTTTGAGGCGGTATAGGTGCGCTCTGAGTGATACGTGTCCTGTGAGTAGTCCAAGCGTTTTGCTCAGCCTGTCACGGTCCATAGCCCAGAGCTCGGTTGCCCTTTCTTTTGAGGGTGTTTCCATGAACTGTTTGGATACCCTACAGCCTGTCGAGTTCCTCCATCGAAGGAGATGTTCCCTTTCTAGGAGTTTGTTTAGGTATTGTTTACCTTCTGCAAAGGGCATTCCAACTATCTGCCTACCAGGTTGCTCCATGGCCCCCTCTCTGGCTAGATTATCGGCTACCTCATTGCCTTCTATTCCCTGATGTCCAGGGATCCAAATTAGAGTCACTACATTCTCAGCCCCTAACCTGGCGAGGTTCTGCATGCAGTCCCGTACCACGGCGGAGACCGTGGTGTTTTTCGCCAGTGCCTCTAGGGCAGCGCGGCTATCCGAATAAATATTTATTCGGGAATGTGTGGCTCCATTATTTATGAGATGCTCTGCACATCTCAGTATAGCAAATACTTCGGCTTGGAAGACCGAAGCATGTTCACCCAGGGATATGCTCTCCCTGTAGTTGGTATTTTGCCCGTAGATGCCCGATCCATGGCGGTCCCCACACCCCGAGCCATCGGAGTACCAG